TAATCTGGAAATATCGGAATCTATCCAACCCCGAAGGTGTCCGTTCAGGCATCAGATCCTGTAGTTGCTTCAGTGAATTCTCTGTGCACCATTGGTGCATGTACGTCCAGTCCGAGTCCCCAAAGGCTTTGATGTCTTGTGGTGTAAGGCCACCCGCCAGGTCCGGGTTATGAGTGATTGGCGTCAGTGGTCCCGGGGTGGTGGTCAGCATTAGGGTGGTTCTCACCGAGTACCAGGTTCGCAGCGTTGCTCCGATGAGCGGGTGATTACGGGTGCGTGTGTTTGTTAAGGTGCCCCCAAGCCATACCACGGCCGGGATCGAGCCATCCATTTGGCTCCGTTCCATGTGTATCCATTGTTTGCAAGTTTCGGGGACGTGCCAGTCCACGACTCTATGGAGATGTGTCGCTCTATAGTAATCAAGGACTGATGGAAGACCCACTCAACCCTGTGCTTTGGGTAGGCGGAGGTGTAGCTTCTTCAGTCTGGGAGCTTTAGATTGCCATATAAATTTAGTGATAGCTGTGTCCATCGTTCGGAAGAAGGCCCTCGGTATATTGATCGGTATGGTCTGGAACAGGTACAGGAGTCGGGGTAGGAGGTTCATTTTAATAGCATTCATTCTCCCGAACCACGAGATGCATAGACTTCCCCACCGAGTGAGGTCTGCTCCCAGCTTGTGTACCATCGGTGCGAAGTTGTGTGTGTAAAGCTGGGTCAGGTCAGCGGTCAACCAGATTCCCAGGTATTTGAGCCTGGTGGGGCACCACGTGAAGGCGAATTGGGTCTTAAGGTGGGTAGTCATCGCTTCACCTGTCGAGATGGGGAGTGTCTCAGATTTATCCTTGTTTAGTTTCAGGTTGGATACCTGCCCGTATTCAACAAAGGACCTCAGGAGGTTCGGGATGGAAACTATCGGTTCGCTAACGAAGAACAACATGTCATCAGCATACGCGGCTACTTTATGTTCCTGTCCTCGTAGGGTAAATCCCCCTATGCCCCCGTCCCGTCTGACCGCCCCCAGGAAAGGTTCCAGGGAGAGGGCAAACAGAAGGGGGGACAGCGGGCATCCCTGTCTCGTCCCGTTTCGTATGTGAACTGGTTTTGAGAGAGCTCCGTTGATCCTTATCCTTGCCGAAGGGATCGTATACAGGGAGGAGATCCACGCCATTAAATGCGTGCCGAAGCCCATGGCCCAGAGTGTAGCCAGCATGAAACGCCAGTCCACCCGATCGAAGGCCTTCTCCGCATCGGTGGACAGGAGAAGGACTTTTTGAGCAGAGCGTCTGGCTGCATGAATGACGTTCAGGGCCCGTATGGTATTATCTCGTGCTTCCCGGCCAGGGATGAACCCTACCTGGTCGGAATGAACTAAGTCTGGGAGAACTCTTCCTATCCGTGTCGCTAGGACTTTCGTGAAGAGTTTCAGATCCGCGTTTAGGAGTGAAATTGGCCGGTAGCTTGCACAGTTGGTTGGATCTTTGCCTTCCTTAGGGATGACTGCTATTGTTGCCGAAAGGGCGTCTCTCGGGAGCGTCCCTCCGTCTAGTAGGGAGTTGAGACCTGTGAGTAATTTAGGTAGGAGCACATCGCCAAATTCCTTGATGTATCGAGCCGGCAGTCCGTCCGGGCCCGGAGCCTTATTGGGCTTGGAACCCTTCAGCGCTGTCTGAAGTTCTTCTAGTGCAATTGGGGCCTCCAGTTCTGCAGCCACATCTTGGCTTAGGGTTCTCGTGACATGTTGTTGCAAGTAGTCCACAATACGTACGTCCTTGTTGGGGCAGTCGTCTGCGCTGCCATCTGGGGATAGGTTGTATAGGTCGCTGTAGAAGCCGTGAAATGCATCAGTTATCTTGTCAGGGAGTTGCGTGGCTACTTGGGCCCTGTCTTTAATTTTTGTGATGTGACACAGTCGGCGTTGTCTTTGGAGCGTACGGGCCAGGAGGCGGCCACATTTGCCCGAGTATTCATAGAAAAACCGATGTGATTTACGTATGGTGTACTGTAGTTTGTGGTGAAGGATGTCCCTAAGTGCTTGTCTAGCTTCCAGTAGGGCCCTGTAGTCGTTGTCCGAGTGGGTAGACTTGTGGGTGTTTTCCAGCGCCGAGATCTGTGCGGTCAGTTCAGTCACACGTTGTCGCTGTACCTTCTGCTGTTGGGTGCAAATCTTAATCAGCTGCCCTCGAATAACGCATTTGTGCGTCTCCCATATCGTCAGGGCTGGTACCTCCGGGGATTCATTCTCCTCAAAGAATGTGGTGAGCGTAGATCGGAGTTCCGTCGTTACTAGTGCGTCATTGAGTATCGATTCATTCATCCGCCATTGCCTTTCTCTTGGGCGATATAGGGGGGATCTAAGTGTGGCTGAAACTGGTGAGTGGTCAGACCATCCTATAGGTCGTATTTCTGCTGAGAGTAACATGGGCAGGAATTCCTGGGCCACAAATATATAATCTAGCCTGCTGTAAGACTTATGTAACGTGGAGTAGAAAGTGAAGTCTTTATCCTCGGGGTGATGCACCCTCCAGCCATCTATGAGGCCGGAGCCTCGGAGCGCCTCTCGTATGACTCGTAAGCCTCGAGACGGGAAGGAGCTAGTCCCCCTAGAGGTGTCAGTTCTTGGTTCCAGGGCAACATTCAGGTCTCCCGCCACCACTAGGAAACCCTCCCGGAATGTTTCAAGTTTATTCAGCGTTGTTCTAATAAATTTAGATTGCCGGGTGTTGGGCGCATAGATGCTGGCAAAGGTGTAGGAGCAACCGGCTATTGTGCCTTTTACAAACAGATAGCGTCCCATAGTGTCCGCCTTGGTGGCCGCGCACTCGAACGGGATCGTGCTTGCGAACAAGATCGCCACTCCCGCCTTTTTGGCTGCCTGGTGATTTGCGAAGAACCCCAGCAGGTACCTCGCGTCTTTCAGCTGTGGGCTATCGTCGCCTCGAAAGTGGGTCTCCTGCAGGAGTGCAATGGAAACCCGTTCGGCCCAGAGGGAGCGCAACAGATGGGATCTTCGCTCTGGCACATTCAGTCCTCGGACATTACTCGACCAAACATGGAGGGGCGCAGGCTTGAACCCCGTCCCCATGGCTCATGAAAGAAGGGGTGGGCAAGAGGGAAGGGGGGGGAGGGAAGAGCAGGGGCAGGAAGAGAAGAATGTGTCAAGCCCGGTGCGGAACCGCAGCGACTCAGCACCTGTGGTGGTGGTGGCCTTTGGGCCCACGGAGAGTGGGTGTCCAAGACCCCCCTACCAGTTTTAGGAGGGTGCCCGTCGGGAGGGCGCAGGTCCCTTGGAGCACTACCGCAGGACTCAGCCTTCACCTGTGGTTTGTGTTGGGGCGTATTCCCCTGGTGTGTTCTCAGTGTGTTCTCAGTGAGTTAGTATAGGTGAGTGAACTATGGTAGCTCTCAACTACAGGAAATATGGATCCCTATCTACAGGGATGGGTTAGTTTATCAACTTGTTGTGTATCTAAACCGTATCACTCCTGCCCCCTGGCCGAGGCATACAGGTGTCGCGGGAGGCATAAGGTCACCGGTAGTTCTCATATGGTCATGTAGGTTAACGTCAGCCGTACGCCTGTCAGTGTGTGTGTCAGGGGGGCTCCGGCCCCGGTCTTCTAGTCTCGGGTCCCCGGGGGATGTAGCTGCGTGTCAGTGCATGGGTGAGGGGGGTTCGTCATACCTCTAACCATGTCCCAGGCGGGTCTAGTCAACTGTGTCTACTGCATCTCCACTTACAGAAGCTGGAGTGGGTGGCACGGGAAGTCTGTCAGGTATTGCCTACGTGGGGGGAGGCCCTGGGGTATCGCTGTCAGGCGTCCGCATGGAGTGGTGGTTCAGGGCTCTGCTTAGTCTCCCTCCTCAGTCCCAGTCAAGAGTCTGTTAGTGTGTCAATGGTTACAGTACATAGCCCTAATCCTTCCCTCGCGGCAGAGCGTGGGAAGGCCTTCTTGCCCGTGGTCTCAGGCCCCTCGGGTGGGGTATGCCCCTAGCTTCAGGAAGAGCCCCCCACCACCCCCCTCAGCATACACCGTTCTCGAACCAGAGTCACCACCTCCGCCAGCTGCATATTTACCACCTCCGGTTGTGAGGGTGCGAGATTCGCAGGTTCAGGCTAGGCGGAGAAGTCAGTAGAAATGTCCAGGGTCCCTGGGAATGATGTGATGTGGGCCCCTAGGAGTTGGGGACTCTGTGTATTCCCGTTCAGCTTGCTATTACGCCAACTTGCAGGGTTTCCGGGTTGCGGGGGGACTCCACAGTGGACCAAACTTCCCTGCCCCTGCTCGTCACAATGGCTTCCCTCCAAGTACCCCCCACCCAAGTGCCCGCGCGTGATCCTCCAGGTCTCCCCGGCTGATGTGTGCCCCAGTATGGCAATCGGGAGCGGCTCACGCCGTGGGTCAAGTCTCCCTCAGAGGAGTCCACAGATTTCCCCCCCCCCCTTTTTTCCTTTTTTTCTCCTTTTTCTCTTTTTTTTTTTTTTTTCCTCCTCCTCCTTCAGGTTGGTCCCTCTCCAAGTGTCCTGGTTATGTCCCCTCCATTTCCCCGGGGCCTCGTGTGTGTGTGTGGGCTCTCAAGTCCTCAAGGGTGCGTGTAGAGCTCACCGGGCCCCAACTGACCTGTTCAGGCTCTGGCTGGATTACTCCTCTGGCCCCTCAGGGCCTCCTCTCCGGCGCGGTGGAACGCCACGAATAGGTGCAGCATCAGGCGGTCCTATTGGGGCTAGCGGGTCTCTCCATGAAGAGATTGCTTCGTCGAGGATCCAGTTTCGGATTCTGATCTGTGGTAGGCCAAGTGTTCTCTGAAATCTCTGTACGTCCTCCGGCCAGCTGGCCATCAACCAGGTGTTACCGTGCCTCGCTTGTAAGCTAAAGGGGAAACCCCAGCGATACGGGATCCTTTTGTCTCGAAGGGCGCTTGTCACCGGGCGCAAGGCTCTTCTGGCGTCTAGCGTCAGGCTGGATAAGTCTTGGTATAGTGCGACTTCTGCCTCGCGGTACCTGATGCTGGGGAGCTCCCTTGCGGCTGCCGTTATTTTATCTCGCAGGCCACATGTGGAGATGCAGCAGATCACATCCCTGGGGCTGCCATCTTGTCTCGCCGGTCCAAGAGCTCTATGCGCTCGGTCGAAGTGTATTGTGTCAGGGGCTTGTATCCCCAGGAGCTGCCTGAATAGGTCGGCCAGCGTGGCGTGAAGCGATTCTGTACCTGACTCAGGGAGGCCGCGGACTCTTATATTATTGCGCCTGCTCCTATCCTCCAGATCTTCTACCTGTCTGCGCATCGTGAGGAGCATGTTCCCTTGTCTGGTGACAGCCACCTCCGTCGCCCTGTGCTGCTCTTCACATCCGCGAGCTGTCGACTCCATTACATCCACTCATTGCTCTAGCGCTGTTAAATCAGAGCAGAGGCCTGCAAGCTCTTCACGCAGTGCCGCCCGGAGTTCTTGTACTAGGGAGCCCGTGTCCGTCTTGGACAGCATGTTGGTGGAGATTTGGGTTAGCTCGGCTCGGATCCGAGCTAAGTCACTCGCCTGGGTATCCTCCGCCAGGGATTCCCCCACACTCTCCGAGCCCGGAGAGGCGGGCGCCATCTTGGACGCATGCTGCTGTCCCCTTAGATCCGACGGCGTAGCTATAAAATCATCCATCGGTCCCGTGCACCGGCGAGGGGAGCTGACACCCGCCGACTCTAGAGCTAGGTGCTTTTTATTCCGGACCATTATCTGCCGTTTTGTCGCTATTTTTGCTAATTAGTCGGCCAGGGGTGCGGAGCTCGTTCACTGTGCGTCCTGCACCATGCTCGTCCAGGCCACGCCCCCCCTGCTCATTATTTGCGTTGTGTCACACACTGCGCATTATTTGCGTTGTGTCAGGGTTAGGGTTAGGGAATTGCCGAAGTGCCGAATTTCAGAAGTGCCGAACCCAACCAAAGTGCTGAATTTCGGAAAAGCCAAATTTTTTTGCCCATGCACATAGTGCCCTATAGTGTTCAAAACACCATCTACCCCCCCTGTCTTCCTTGTCCCCTAAATATAGTAAAGTCTTACCTTTATTCCAGTCCACTGCTGCTGGCTCCGCCCCTAATCTGCCTTCTTGGCTGACATCATCAGAATTGAAGAAGATAGGATTGGCCTCAGACTGTCAATGAAGCACATAAGGGGCAGAGCCAGCACAAGCCAAACACAGCCCTGGCCAATCAGCATCTCCTCATAGAGATATATTGGATCAATTCATCTCTATGAGGAAAGTTTAGTGTCTGAATGTCAGTCACACTGTGCAGCACTGCCCCAGGAAGCACATCTAACAGCCATCTGAGGAGTGGCCAGTGAAGTTATCACTAGGCTGTAATGTTCTTACAATGTTTTCTCTAAAAAGACAGTGTTTACAGCAAAAAGCCTGAAAGTAATTCTACTCACCTGAACAAATACAACTAGAAAAGCTACAATTTCTGGGGAAATTGTGTGAAGTGTTTTTGCCTCCACCAGTATTATGTGAGATAATAGTTGCCATCTACAAACGGTCGTAGTTTTAAAAACTGTAACTCCTACAGCGAAGAGCTTTATATTGTGAGAATCACAAGACCCAGACCTACATTTTGATGCATAGTATGTCTCTGAAGTATTAAAATTGAAGGCACAGTCGCAGTTTAGAAACTGCCCTTCAAATTTGAGCTTTGCAGAGTGAAGTTTCAATGAATGTCAATGGACGGCGTTAGTTGCAAACAAATGATTATATTGTGAAAACTATCAGGACTATGGCTTAGCCGTTGACATGGTTAGTGGCAGCAGGGATAGCTGAACGTTTTGATATAAGATTTGTGTAGGTGGGCCTGAAAATAAGGGAGTGGTGGCAGTTTAGAAATCATGTCCTGATTTTTCAGCTTTTGCCAGCTCCCACTCTAGCTTTGCCATTCATTCCTATGGGACAAATTGTCGCCACAAGAACGACGATATTCCGTGAACCATTCGGCGAAACGTTCCACAAAGTAATAGCAATCCGATCGGGAACAATCTGCACGTTTTGGTAAATTTTGGTCTATGTAGTGTAAAAACTGTGGGAGGAGTTAGGGTGGCAAATTTGGCTATAATAATAATAATATATATGTGAGATAACATTAAGTGGTCTTGCTATGCAAGAACACTTAATAACTAGAAAAGCTACAATTTCTGGGGAAATTGTGTGAAGTGTTCTTGCCTCCACCTGTAGTCTACAACTGGAGTGGGCGGAGTAACTGTTATCATTTACATAGCACATTTAATTGCAACGATGTTGCACAGTTACATTAAACCATACATTTATAAAAACATTAGCAGGTGTTCAAAAGGCCCTGTCTATGACATCACTTGCTGCTGCAGCCTGGCACAGGTCAGAGTATTTTGGCGGTTGCCATTTTCAAACGGTCGACAAATTTCGCCACAAGAACAACGATATTCCGTGAACCATTCGGCGAAACGTTCCACAAAGTAATAGCAATCCGATCAGGAACAATCCGCACGTTTCGGTATATTACTGTCTAGGTAGTGTAAAAACTGTGGGAGGAGTTAGGGTGGCAAATTTGGCTATAATAAGAATAATAATATATATGTGAGATAACAATAAGTGGTCTTGCCATGCAAGAACACTTAATAAGCTGTATACTATACAATAAGCTGTAGTTGTTCTGGTGACTATAGTGTCCCTTTAAATATCCCACAGTTAATATATGGAATGTTGCACGATAACCTGTAGTCCATTCCATTTTCCTGTGGTAGAAGTGTAAATGCTAATGGCAAAGACGTAAAAACTGGTGTTGGAACATGTTTGACGGACGGTGCAGTAGACACATTGTAAAAACATAACTTAACCAACAGAGCCCAGATATAACACAGTAACTGGTTGCTAAGATAACGAATGACACTCATTTTTCAGACCACAAATAAAGATCAGGCCCTGTCAAATCTTCAAAATCCTCATATAGAGAAATTCAGTTTTAGACCTGTACCTGTTTAGTCTCGTTAATAAACATCTTAATAATTTAAAAATAAAAAACCAGTCCGGACCTGATCAAATCCCAGCAATGCTGTTGAAGCTCAGTGCGCCGGCAATTGCTAAACCCGTCACAGCCCTAATTAACGAATCCTTGGTGTCTGGATACATCCCCAAACTTTGGAAGACTGCGAGAGTAGTGCCTATCCATAAAAGTGGTGACAATACTTTGGTTTCTAACTATCGCCCAATACCATTGCTCTCTGTATTGTCAAAAAACTTGGAAAAATGCTTCCACGCGCAACTATGTGAGTACTACCAACAATTGAACTATCTGACCCCTGATCAATCGGGCTTTTGTCCAAATCACTCAACTTCGACAGACCTCTTAAAAGTTTGCAATGACATCCAAACTGCCATAGAGCAAGGAGCCCTAACTGGAGCTATTTTCCTTGATTTTGCCAAGGCCTTTGACACAGTAGACCATGGCATTCTTATGCAAAAACGTAAAAACTCAGGCATTGGTGATCCTCCGCTAACCTGGTTTTGATCATATGTTTCAGACTGCAATATTGATTGCTATATGTGACCATCTCTGATAGTGCTTCCCTCCCTCTTCCAGTCACATGTGGTGTTCCCCAAGGCTCCATTCTCGGCACCCTGCTATTCACATTATTTATAAATGATCTGCCTAACTTCTGCAAATCCTCAACTGTACACATGTACGCAGACGACACTGTAAGATACGTTAGTAAAGCCAATCTACCGCAGCTTGAGGCTGTGCTCCAAAACCAATTCACAGAGTTAGAAAAGTGGATTGCGGATAACAAACTTTTCCTAAGCACTGACAAAACAGTTACAATGATCTTTGGAACTGTACCTAAATTACGTAAACTACAAAATCAACAACTGTGTATCAGAACAAATTTAAATAGCACACTGACAGCAGTCTGCTCTTTTAAATATCTAGGTATGTTGCTAGACCCCAATCTATCCATTGGCCTTCACATAAAAAAAATCTCTTCAAAACTTTCAACAAAGCTATGTGCCCTGTACAGAAACAAATCCGACCTAAGCCCTACAGTAAAGGAAACGGATAGTGCAACAAATGCTAATGCCGGTCATTGATTATGGGGATGTAGTGTATGCACCCGCACCGCAAACCCACCTTAATAAACTCAATACATTATATAATTCATTCTGCCGCTTTGTACTAGAATGTAATTACTTTACCCACCACTGTGACATGTTTAAAAGAGCTAACAACGTTTCCATCCTGGTAATATATTTCATAAATAAATAAATGTATATAACACGGTAACAGAATGTGTATAACCAGATATAACACGGTAACAGAATGTGTATAACCAGATATAACACGGTAACAGAGAATGTATATAACCAGATATAACACGGCAACAGAATGTATATAACCAGATATAACATGGTAACAGAATGTGTATAACCAGATATAACACGGTAACAGAGAATGTATATAACCAGATATAACACGGCAACAGAATGTATATAACCAGATATAACACGGTAACAGAATGTATATAACCAGATATAACACGGCAACAGAGAATGTATATAACCAGATATAACACGGCAACAGAATGTGTATAACCAGATATAACACGGTAACAGAGAATGTATATAACCAGATATAACACGGTAACAGAATGTATATAACCAGATATAACACGATAACAGAATGTATATAACCAGATATAACACGGTAACAGAATGTGTATAACCAGATATAACACGGTAACAGAATGTGTATAACCAGATATAACACGGTAACAGAGAATGTATATAACCAGATATAACACGGCAACAGAATGTATATAACCAGATATAACATGGTAACAGAATGTGTATAACCAGATATAACACGGTAACAGAGAATGTATATAACCAGATATAACACGGCAACAGAATGTATATAACCAGATATAACACGGTAACAGAATGTATATAACCAGATATAACACGGTAACAGAGAATGTATATAACCAGATATAACACGGCAACCGAATGTATATAACCAGATATAACACGGCAACAGAGAATGTATATCTGGTTATATACATTCTCTGTATAACACGGTAACAGAATGTATACAACCAGATATAACACGGTAACAGAGAATGTATATAACCAGATATAACACGGTAACAGAATGTATATAACCAGATATAACACGGTAACAGAATGTATATAACCAGATATAACACGGTAACAGAATGTATATAACCAGATATAACACGGTAACAGAGAATGTATATAACCAGATATAACACGGTAACAGAGAATGTATATA